GTATGTATGTATATGCGTATGTATGTATATGCGTATGTATGTATATGCGTATGTATATATATATATATATATATATATATATGCATAAATGTATGCATGTGTAAAATGTAAGAATGTTCATTTGATTATAACATACACAAGCCGAAGTAGAAATGGTCGGTCAAACGCACACACACACACACATATATATATATGCCATCACTTACCACGTACACATTGAGAAAGTGCTGATGAAATGAATTGTCATCTGCGTTTCAATTTCCGGCATTGTTGACATAACCAATTTAACAATATCGACTAACACATACATATACATATACATGAACACGAAGTGCCATGATGACTATAATACTACCGATGACGATAATCATGATGATAATGATGATGATAATGATAAAACGTATTTCAAGTGTTTGTATCGTTTTCTACATTTTTTTTTTTTTTGCCTTTTTTCCTTTTTTTTTTGCTTTTTCGATTACTTCTTTACTTAAAATACACTCAATTCGAAAGTGTACTTATTTCATTAACACACATTTGTATGTAGTGAGGCGACCGTGTGCTCATCTAAAGTCGTTAATTTCTCTTATCAATTATATGTCTTCTCTCAGCTAACATTAGTAAACGCTTTACTCATACAAAAAAAAAAAAAAAAAAAAAAAAAAAAAAAAAAAAGGAATTCAATTTCATTCTATTAACCGCTGCTATGTCATTGTCAATATCTACGAATATGTATATTTGTAATAGAATACATTAAACTGCTACCGTTTTGTAATGATTGTGGTTGTAAGTGATTTTTGTTTTTTTTCTTTTGTATGTTTTTGTTTTGTTTTCTCCGCTGAGTTAGAGACTATAATTTTATGCGTTTTACGCGGTTTTCGTACATATTATGAGTTATGCTGATTCAAATGAATTGTAATGTCAAAAGTATTGCACTAATGAATAACGTCTGTCGGCATTTAAATAATTAATTATTCTGTAATTAAATGAATTAGTTTTAAATGATTTACGTACAATAAAAATGTAATCACAGTCCATGTCAGATCAATAAAAATGAAAAGTTCGCGATAAGTTGATAAATGTAATATATATATATATATATATATATATTTATCCAAATGCAAAGTGAATCATTTACATTTATTGCTTTTTGCAATTTACTCTATACACTCATAAATTATATGCTTATGTATTCTATGTTTCAAACGTGGCCATAGTAGAAAGCATTAAGCGGATCGACTAGTGTAAGTTTTTCGATTTTTTTTTTTTTTTTTTTTTTTTTTTTTTTTTTTTTTTAATAGATGCTTTGGTCTTTCTTGGATATGTGAAAAGAAATTCGTTAACCGCATGAAATTTTTTTCCTTGAAATAATTTGCTTTTCCCGGAAAAGATCAGACCTGCTTATTAAAAACAGCTGCTGGAAGTTTACAGTCGAATGTTTTATCTTCTTGATTTCTAGCATATCTAATTCGCTAACTGATCTCTTCAGAAGATATTTCGATTCATTCAAAACCGTTTCCAAGCAAAAGCATTTGAGTGTAATTTCACGCAGCCTTCAGCCTTCATTCGTATGCGAAGCCGAGAGCAATTCGAAAGCTTTCAAGTACTCTCTCTGTTTGCGATGTTGGTGACGAATTCCGTTGCTAAATTGTATATTTTCATTGTTCTTTAACATTTCGAAAGATGTAAAGTGTCACGCTCGCGATTCTCTCAGGATCTACGAGAACGAAAAGGAACGTTTTAACTTGGAGGTATCTTTTTATGATCCTGAAGATAATAATAAAATATTTATTGGGAGCAAATAAAAATGTGTGTTATATATGTCAAAACTCTGAACGGCAAGCAGCATAACTCAAAGAATTTTCGTCTTTTTCTTTGAAATTTTTTACTGTATCCTCAAAATAAAGATTCTCTAGTGAAACAGGATTTTTTCGCTAAATGAATCTGAACATTTTTTATTGGTGAGGGAAGGATTTTTTTTTTGGTCGAAAATTGTAGCTTTTTCGCTCAAGCACTCACCAATTGCATAAATGGAATATTTTCAAAAATTCCTACGTGTTTCACTAGATGTAGGAATGAAGTTTAATGAGTTCCCCTTTTTTTTTTTAATTCAAATTTGATCCAGTTATCATATAGTGTCGCAAACCGCCTTCAGCAGAAGATGTCTCCAGAGAATGCTTTCGATATTGCTATTTTTGAATACTTTTTACAAGTAATTTTTTTCTCGAATACCTAATGGTATGCTTAAGTATTTCCTCAAATGTTAGTATTCTGTCGCTTTTCCATATATGTAAAAAAAAATTCCTTTTTTTTTTAAACTCCGGCATTTTGGTTCTCTGCCTAAAATATCTTTCCCCGATAGGTTTAGGCTGCCGAAAAATCATATTTACGAGTCGCAGCAATTTAAAGCGAAAATATATTGTCATCGCTGCCAAGTAGATGCAAAAAAAAAAAAAAAAAAATTTGAATTTCAATAATCATATGCAAAATATGCCCTAAAATATTTGACGATATGTCCTACTAAGTAAGTCCTACTTCAATAACGACATTTTTTATTGCTCCAAATAAATAGACGAGATTTTTACTGTAACATAAATCTTGATCATATTATATTTCTCCGTTCTAATGTAACCACTTCTGTTCATCATTCCATACTTTGCAAATTGAGCAATATATGTGATCTTCGTGATCACAGCATTCTTGACGTCGCAATTTACCAGCTTTCGTTGCAAACTTCTTTCTTTGTTAAATCATGTGTCATCCAGTCATACAAGCTTTTGCAGTCAGTTTGTGAACCTGCTCTCTTTTACACTTTTTCGCTCACATACCCTTTAATTCCTCCTTCTTAGAACTTTTTATACTCATATACCATAATACATCTTACACATCTTAAACAATTTACTTTGCGCTCTTCGGTTTTATCCTACGTGGCGGACGAGTAATATGCATATTTTACTGAAGACTATGGAAAAACAACGTGACGGACATACAACACGCTAAATTAAGAAAAAAAAAAAAAAAAAAATTTTAGAAGAAAATCTAATTGCAACGTTACTCAGGCCCAAACAGAGGAACTCTGTGTTCACATTCGGCCTTTTATTGCACATCACATCGAATTTTCGGTTATTAGTTTGCTGAATAACAGAAGAAGAAGAAGAAGAAGAAAAATAAATTTCATGACAAAATTATATATTAATAATCAATTTCTCTTAGTCCGTCTCTATTCAAGAACACAAAAAAAATAATAATAATAAAAAATAAAAAAGAAAAATCAATTTCTCAGTTTATGATTATGAATAAAATCTTGACGGTGTTATTGTTAATTGCGATTGGTTTAAAAGCTTCGGCTGCTAGTCAACTCAGTTTTTTTGATTGGTTTTTTGAATTTATTTTTAAAGATTTTGGAAATGATGTGAACGATGTGGTGGAACAAGCCGAATATATGACCTTGGATGAGTTAGGCATATCGAGAGGGTCATGTCAACGCAACTTCATTGCGTTTATATCTTTCGAAAGTATTCGTATGTGTTATGTTGACGATGAATTTATTTTACATTTACTACCAGTAGCGACAGCAGCTGATGATTCTCGAAAGCCTCCAATAATGGTTAAATGTTTGAGCGAACATCCGCTTATTGAAAAGGGTTTCAATAAATTACATATGATGGGCAGCGCCCAAGAAATTGTGGATTTACTTAAACCCGTTGGTAACAATACAAAACGCTATGAACCGGGCAGTTGCGTATTAGTGTATTTCTATACGCCTACATGCCTAGCTTGCACGGTCCTAGCATTATCTGTTAATGCCTTGCCGCACGTATTCAAAACTTTACCAGTTGCCGCTATAGATGCTTACAAATTTGCAAGTTTCAATGCCGAATTTCGAATTGTGGACTTACCAACACTAGTATTATTTCATCAAGGACGACCTGTAGTGAAATATCGCGACGGTAAATTTGACACATTCATAACGCGACATACTGGTCTCAAACCTATAGAATTTCCCAAAATTTCCCTATCAACACCTTTACCTTTCAACGTGGAGCATCAAACCGATTACATATTAATACTTGCCTGGGTGTTTATGCTCGCATGTTCCGCTTATTATTTTTCAAAATTTCGCTTCTATATGCAAATTGTAAAAATGATTGAAAGAAATTGGCGCGAACTAGAAGCACTATTAGAGCCCTATTAACCTGGCATCCTATCAAAATAAATTAATTTTATGCATCTCATAGAGAATGGCTTAAGTTGTATTTAAGTTATTTATTTATGAATATAAAAATCGATATACTGCTGCGATGCTTCTTCAGGCAACTTAAAACAAATATCGGACAAGTATTAAGCTAAATCGAAGGCGTTAAATGCTTTTTAATAAATCGGGCGAAACCACTTCGATTCGCTCTTAGTCGCTAAATAAAATAAAGCAAAGCTTTTCCACTGCTCCACTGACCACTTTTTATTTTGCATTGGTAAAGAACTGGCGACTGTGTATGCGATCATGAAGAAATTTTGTGAGCAAGATACATAAACAAAACCTTTAGCCAAAACATAGTTTGCGTATATTGTAATTCTCGATGGAGGGATGTATTTGCTAACAACCGCTCATATCACAGAAAGTTGACTAATATTCTTGTGTAGCTGGGCAGGTTACTATAAGTCACTTATAACGTTGTTAAATTAAATTAGAAAAGGAAAGATGGTGATTGGACGTGTGTGTGAACAGGTTATGCCTATTTCATAGGCTTGCCTTTACAGCCGATAAACGAATCTTTGCTCCTGATTCCAGATTACTATCATTATTGGGGCGACTAAAATGTTTTTCTCCTTTTTTTTTTTTTGTTAACCAAAAATAGGACTAAATTAAAATTAGACTAAGTCTTCCTTACTATACAAAGGCAAAGTTTTAGAAAAGTGGGATAACTCGAATAAAACATGATATGGACAGAGGGACAATTGTTTTGATCGAAACAAAGTGTGCAAGTCTGTATGACGAATATTTACTTTATTCATTCTCTATCGCAAAGTTTATGATAAAATGAATACGTATAGTCCTTTGACGATGCTCGCATATATACATATATAAGAAAAATGAAGAAATTAATAATGCGTTTCATGTAGGTTTTTCATTTAATTATTAATTTGTTGCTTTTATTCACCGAAATGCACACTTGTGTCAACATAAATTTTTTTTCAATTTGATCAATATCGTAGTACGTATCTTTCATATAAATATATATTCAGATATACGCTTATATAGATGTTTCTTTGCCTGCTTTTTAAGTGATACGATTTTACAATCACACATATAAATCCATTTCCGACATTTATTTTATATTTGGTAAGGAAGGATAGTCAAAAAGTTTTGCCATTGTGCGGTCATACAAATTTTGTCGTCCTGTTCGTAATAAGAACAGAATATATAAAAAAATAGGAGAGAGAAAGAGGGAGGTAAAAAGAGAGAGAGAAAGAGAAAGAAAGAAAGAAAAAGGAAGAGAGAGAGAGAGAGAGAGAGAGAGAGAGAGAGAGAGAGAGAGAGAGAGAGAGAGAGAGAGAGAGAGA